TAGTAATAAACGTACAAATCAGACATAAACAAGTCAGTCATAAACAGGAAAATATACATCCATTAATAATGTGCTTTGATTAACGTAACATATAGTCGGCTATAAAGACAATGACAATGTTTTTAAATATCGTTCTCTGCTATATTAAAAGACAATGAAAATGTTGAATAACGTAGTGGGCTACTGGGCTTATATTCGGGGGACTTATATTTGGGTGTGCTTATGTTCGGGGGGGGGCTTATATTTGGAATGAATTGAGCGTTAGTATATGTGGTGGGCTTATATTCCGGGGGCTTATATTCGAGGGGGGCTTATAGTCGGGGGGGGGGGCTTATAGCCGGAGGTTTACGGTATAATGACAGAGATAATTTTACCTATCATTGGGCTATCAATGGGAGAGTCCTGAGTATTAATATTTAAGAGTGAAAATATTGATTATGATATAATGTTCACATTATAAAATCCCCAAACATAATTCTCTTTCTCAACCATGATGTCAAAAGATACACTAAACCTAATAAGTTCTTATTGCAACAGATTCTCATTTTAAAGTAGAATAATTGCCACATGTAGCACTTGTTAAGGTGAGATAGCACATCTCTTATCCATCCAGGACAAATGACCCATTTGACACAGTTAATTAACACTATAATGGGGGTAATTTTTCTTTCGTAAAATGGCAATGTATCGATATGATTTTTCAATGGCAAAATGCAATTGGACTGTACGGGCCAGTCTGTACCAGTGACTAATTATATAGTTAAGCTAGGTGACACTTGCTCGATGGCTTCCCTGTTAGATACTGTACTCCTTTTGAAAAATATTAATTGCTACATGTAGTGTTAAGGTGAGATCATGGCACATCTCTTATCCGTCCTGGACAAATGACCCATTTGACACGGGTAACATTATAATGAAGTAGTTTTTCATTCTTGAAATGGCGATGTATTGACATGATTTTTCAATGGCAAAATGGAATTGAACTGTAACAGTGATTAATTATATAGTTAAGGGACACTTGCTCAATGGCTACCCTCTGTTATATACTGTGCATACTCCTTTTGAAGTAATTAAAATTGCTACATGTAGTGTTAAGGTGAGATGGCACATCTCTTATCCTATCATTGCATGTGATCAATGCTTATTTGTCTCAACAAAGAGATGGTTTGCGCTCTAGCTAGCTATCTCATTGACAATTAGATAACGAGTAGCGTAAAGCCAATCAGAATACAGCATTTGCATTAGAACTTGACAACATTTAAAATTACTAAATATATATACTGTATAGACTAATGTGAAAATGAATACTTTTAGGATGACGACCCCATTGTCCATTGATGAAGAAGTGAGGAAATCAACCTATAGCTATCCTTGAATCTTGGCATCAGGTGACATTGCATCCTTGGACCCATTGTACATTACTGCCGTGGGGCAAATTTACTTGCGTTTTGCTGGTAAAAATATTCCACATACTTATTGCTACATTCCATGTTCTAAATATGGAATACACTCCAGGTGTTTCGAGTGTTTATGCATTTCTAGAATTTAGAAGCTGTCACCTTAAACCGCCCTGCTGATGCCGAGAACAAAATTTCTGTACAACTTTTAAGTGAGCTTGGACTCTGAAATTAATCGTGATAAATACTTAGTTCATATAAATTCATGCATGTTAAAGGTATTTCTTGTCAGCGAGTAATTTATAATAATAACCAATTTTGAACCTATATTTCTCTTTTGTGTGTGTCTTAATGTGCCTGGTTGAAAGTGTTAAATCAACACCTTAAATCTGGTGTTATTTTAGCACCAGATAGGAAGAGGTGTTGCTTTGGCACTGCCAAATCAGGTGTTATTTTAACGCCACACTATAGGTGTTAAATCAACTCTTAAAACTGGTGTCACTTTAGCACTTAAAAGTGGTGTTAGTTTAACACTATAAACAGATGTTAAATTAACCCCCAAAACTAGTGCTAATTTAACACTAAAAATGGGTGTTGTTTTAGCACCATAACTAGTGTTATTTTAACACTTTTTTAGTGGTGTTAAAATAGCACCAAAAAGTAGTGTTATTTTTTACCTAATTTTTTAACACCACTTTTTGGTGTTATTTTAACACCCTAAAATTAACAGTGCATGTATATAAATATTGTGCTGGCCTGCTGCCTACCGCAATATCCTGCCGCATTGCTAATTTTTCACTTGATCTGGCCGCAATTTTCTGCCGCATTTTATCTTTTACGAGGTAGCCTACCGCAGGAGATCTTCCGCTTAATTGCCCAACTTTCCACTATGGCCTTTAACTATTAAATGGCTTTGTCGATAAACTTTGAGTTTGCAATAAAATGATTTCAAATTCTTGCTTGCAAATAACTTTGCTTTATTTTTTATTTAAAAAATTCAATATAATAAAAAAGGGAATCAATATTAAAGATACACTGAAATTAATATATGCTGTCTTGTTTTAATAGTTGTTTCATATACGCAAAGGCCGTCGGGTTTTAAAGCCATTATAAAAACAATATTTAAAACAAACTTACCTTCGTTAATGTCGGCTCCCTTCTAATAGCCGATTCTTTCGTCCTTTCTTTCTTGAAATTTACAAAATCTTGCAGAAATACGAGCAAAAATGAAATATATTTGCAAGAAATTTATCAATCATCAAATCCGAAGAAATGTTTGCTTTTTCGCTGTCGTCATGCAGTCGTTATAATGCAAACTTTAAATTGGACCAATCAGTGTCCATTATGTAGCTACCATTCTGGGGTTGCGTTAAAATTAACAATCGCTTAATATAATTAGATATTAACAATATTACGTAATTAAGAAAACTATAAACAAGATTAGGAGGGCGTGTTTTGGGATTGATATTTTGCTCTTGACTGCGAGCGAAAGGCGAATTTTGAACTGAGACTTATTGCGAGCGAAAGATTGATTGTTAAAGATGTGAACTAGTTTGATACAGTCGGTAAGGACTTTCTTTATTGCTTTAATATTATGTTATGTATAAGATATATAAGTAATTTCTTGTTTATATCTGTATTTATTATAGAAAACCTATTCCTATTCCTATTGCTATACTAATCGTATAAAGATTTATATGAATAGATATATGAATTATTGTCGAAGAAATTTATTGCGTATTGCTGAATTGATAAGGGAGAGAAAGGAGTTGAGTTATACGTATCAAATCTATGATTTAGAGCGAATTTTGAATTAAAGCTAACGCGGGTTAGCTACACATTATTCATGACAGTCCACCATATTTTTGAGATCAGTGAGGATGACCACCTTCGTTGGTGACCGACGCCCGCGATATTTGATGAACTTTAAACTTCGCTAATGCTTTCGTTTCTTCGGGTGTAAATAGCTGGGGGGAATTAGTACCCTCGCACGGCGCTTCGCGCCGCCGGCTTGGGGACAATATCCGAAACACACAACGCAAACGAGATCGCTAAAAATGGTGTTATTATGCGGCTCAAGTCGTCGAAAGGCCATAACATGTCAAATACGTCTAGCATCGTCTAAATTGCCTCGCAAATTTCTTGCTAACTTCACCCTGCCATGAATTTCTAAAAAATGACCCTTCTAGACTAATATTCATACTATCATATTTTACAGCATCTGAAGCTTTAGGACACATATCCACCATGAGCAACTCATGAAAACACTAGCATTCGTTACCGAGATGAGAAATTAACTTTCAAGAGATGTGAAATATTAAACGTAAACAATAAACACGTCATCAGCTGGCACGTGCCGGACATTTGATAATCTCAGGGGAAAACCGTATTAACTATATATAATGTCGGCATCACGGCATGCAAATGCAATGACTCAATGAGGGCATGGCAAGGCATTTATTAAAGAGTGGCGAGGAATAGGAACAAGGCAATTTTCCTTGTTTAGGTATGCGCTGTACTTTTTCAATACATGAGAAATCACGACGCTTTTTCACAAAGATAAAATATTTTTAAAGCATGCGTAGGTTTGAATTTGCGAGTGCGCTGATTATGTTAATAAGGAATGCTTAAAACACACCCCTCCTATTAATTAACTTATACGGGCAAAAACGATATTTTTAGCTTATGTGTTGAAAAACGAATACAGCGTATATAAACCTATGCATGAGACAGCATGACATAGTTAATACGGTTTTCCTCCGAGATTATTAAATGTCTTGCACGTGCCAGATAACATGGAATATTGTTTAGGTGTAATATTTCACATCTCTTGAAAGTTGATTTCTCATCTCGGTAACGAATGCTGGTATTTCCATGAGTTGCTCATGGTGGATATGTATCCTAAAGTTTCAAATGCTGTAAAATATGATAGTATGAATATTACTCTAGAAGGGTCAACTTTTAGAAATTCGTGGCAGGGCGAAATTAGCAAGAAATTTGCGAAGCAATTTATGTAGTATAGGAACTACCGAAGCGAGACCACTAGCGGTCCCACTTCAGCAGTTCCATGGCTAGATTTGTTTGCTTAGTTTACTTTTTTTCGTATCCATGGAAACTGCTGTTCTAGAGCCAATCTGATAGCGTTTTAGTGAAACTTGTCTTATGGAGTCTCGGGATCGCTTTAGCTGTCACGGGGTTCCAGGGAAGCCTGTTTTGTTCGCTGTTTATGTTGGCTGGGTGTGTTATCTACATCAACTAAAACCTCTATTTTGAGACTCTCCGGTAACTTTTATTTTACCCTTGTGGTAACATAAGGAGCTGTGCACTTACCCCTTACTTACCCTCTACAGCTTTCACTTTCTACTCTACTGGAACTCCTCACTCTACATTTGTAATATTCTTATCACCGTAAGCATAACTGGTAACTCCATCCTCCAAAAGATACCTTTTATCATCAAAGCAACTCAGAGTAACCATCCTCATTTCATACGTTCCAATAGTATGCTTTATGCTCCTGATTGTATTCATGTTATGTCTTATCCTACCCTTCGTGTTGATTACGTTCTTGAAGTTCTCATGAGTTAGCTTGTTCCTGATGACATGCTTTCTTAACCCCCTTAGCTGTCATCCCTCCTTTACTATTCTCCTTCACGTATGAGTACATCTTTGACCTTAACCCAACAAACTCAATTATGGGTACTCCTCCGGCTTCATCCTTGAACTTGCCTATAACCTTCTTATTGTGGGTTGAGTAGTAAGGACTATTTTTCTTGCTTGACATCAACTCTCTTCCTTAGATTCTCCATAGTCTTTCCATAGATCGAGTTATTCATTAGCTTGAAGAAGTTCTTTTCGAACGTATTACGAGCCACCGACCTCTTCTTGGTGTTGAAGAACTTGATTTCTACCCTATTCAATATCATCATTGAAAGCTTTGTATAATGCATGTAAAAACATATCCAACACTAAACGTAGCCAAATTGGTCAGTCAAACGTGATAACATGGTTCAAATAGGCATTATAATGCTTGCTTTTCTTGCAAACAAACATATATATTGCTCGAAAAACAAGTATTAATGTGTATATCTATCTTTCAGACTACCAGAGCGCAAGAAAATTTAAAAAAAATTGTGTTATCACTCACAATTAAATTCAGTGTGTTTCAGACAATCTTGGAGAAAACACTTGAGAACATTCCAGCTAATATTAAAAAGTTATTGAACATTGACAAAATAAACTTGGTCTCCCCCCCCCCCCCAGTACAATGTTGTGAAGAACGTCGAAACAACCTTTGGTGTGTACCATGATACAAGCTCAACATTGAGTAGGGGGAGCGGGGGGCTTAAGAAGGGCAACATGATTCAACATTAGTTTATCACAAAAAATATGTGAAGTGAATTTTCTATAGGGGAAAAATAGTCTTAACCAGTTTTGTCCAAGAATGTGGCTCCAGATTCGCCAATCTGGAAACAGGTAGCCAATCTGGAGCTGTCTGGCTCGTCATCTAGCAAAGTGTAAAGTTAATCAAATATCGCGGGCGCATGACTTACCGTTCATGGGTGGTCATCTTCACTGATCTCAATATATGTAACGGACCGTCGTGAATAGTGAACACTGATTGGTCAAATTTGAAATTTTGCATTGTAATGGATGCATTGACCACAGAAATAACAAACATTTCTTGCAAGTCAGTGTATTTTTGCACTGAGATTTTGTAAATTTCACAACCTTTCAGAGTGCCAAAAAAAACCGTCTAAAAGAATAGAGCAAAGTCGCCGACGTTAAAAAAATGCTAGTTTGTTTTAATTATTGATGTATTGTTTTTTTTATAATTGATATATTTATAACTGATAGTGGTGGGCGATACTCGAAAATATCGAACTGATACTATCAGTTGCGTATATATGTGAGAAAAGACAGCATATAATTTGCTTGTAGTTTTATTAGTTACCCTTTCTTTTGTATATTAAAATATTTAAATAAAGAGGAGCGCAAAGTTACTTTCATGCGAGAATTTCAAATCAGTTTATTTCAAACTCAATGTTTGGTAATTCAATAAAAGGCTTTTAGTTTTAAGTCTTTTAAGAACATTTTAAAACGTTTTGCGAAGCGTTTGTGGTTAATTTTACATTAAATTGAAGCTTATATTACGTATGATAAAATACCTAGCATATATATGTCCGGGAAATTGACAATTTTCTTATTAAAAATAATATTTTGGGGAGATTTTTCAATTTTAAAACTATTCTTAAAATTATCGTGTTACCATGACAAATACTTTCAATTCTTCATATTCAGAAAATATAATGTTTTGTCAAGGCGAGGGTTTCTGCATGCATGTATTTTCTAGTCTATAACTTAAAGAATAACAAACAAACATTTATTGATTTTATTTTAATAATTATTAAGGAACCAAACGACCAAGATGGGGAAAGAATTCCCACCAACCCCATTGGTGGCCATTAGGCCTTCCCTTCGCAGACCCTAACAACGGCGCGAAAAGAACTAGGGTCGAAGACCTTAATGCAATTATTGCAGCAGCTGAGAATGCTTTGCAAGGTAAAGAAGAAGATGATGATGATGATGATGATGATGATGATGATGATGATGATGATGATGATGATGATGATGATGATGATGATGATGATGAGTCACTGTGAAAAATGTCGATACGTGAAATGCTGTTATTTTGAATTTTCGATCGGTTTATTTTCCTTTATATGAAATCAAAAGCTAAAATAAGTCATTATAATATGATTATTTATGATTTAAAAGCATCAAAAGTGTATTTATTGTGATTTTTGCCTTAAAATGCCTTCACGGGATTCTCAAAATGCCACGTTTCACTGTAGTCATTTTATAAAATTATTACCAAATGGTTTTCCAAGCAGGAGCGTGATCCATGCACTTGTGCAAAATATGCAAATATAGCATCGCGGCGATCGGGCCTGGGCCCCGGGTCCTGAGTATGCAATCAGCACAGGACAATGGTGATCAACACAATTCCGTCGATTCAGTTGGACAGCTTTGAACTGTTCTCATTCAACTACCCTGGTTCCAAAGGCTCTTTGCGAGTCGCAAAGAACCTCTGGAACCAGGATATCATTTAACAGGTTGTGTCATTATGGCGTATTTGGTTGAATTTCATCCGATAACCAAAATATTACTAACTTTAACAGAAATTACTAAAAAAATTACCAAAAATTTTCAATTACCAAAAGAGTCCGAAAAATCGCGAAATATTACCAAAAGTAATTAAAATTACCAAATTTGGTCACACTGTTTAGGCATGTGCGAGCGACAATTATCCAATCAGAATCCAATATTTTCATTTTCCCGCGAATACGTTTGTTTTGATTACATCATTCATGATAGATACTATGACATCATAACTGAGACCCAGGTCATTGCGCGGAATTCAAGATGGCGTCGGGCAAATGAGTGCATTCCTTGATTTAGCCCTATGATTTAGCCGCTAGTACTATTGTTCCCAGTCAACTGCGAAACGACCGTTTTTTTAGGCGCTTTGTCAGTGACAGTTTTGTCAATTACGAAGGGGTATTTGTGTACCTCGTGATCACAATTCGTTGCAAGCGGCGTGTGAAAAACTGCAAGTTTCAGTTTGACAATTCTGACAGTTAAATGGTTTCTAATTTTATTGCCCAATCAGGTGCGTAGTGTTGATTTAAAATTCAAAACTACGCATCTGATTGGACAATAAAATTAGAAACTATTTAACTGTCAGAACTGTCAAACTGAAACTTGCGGTTTTTCACACGCCGCTTGCAGCGAATTGTGATCACGAGGTACACAAACATGTCCTTCGTAATTGACAAAACTGTCACTGACAAAGCGCCTAAAAAACCGGTCGTTTCGCAGTTGACTGGGAACAATAGTAAAACGAACATTGACCGCCATTTTGAATTTCGCTATTTGTGATTTCCCGCCAAATATATTGCGCAATACTAAGCGCGCAATACGCATACCCACGAACAGGTAACTCGAGCCCATAGATTGAGCCCTGATTTGCAGGCACAGTAATGAAGTTTATATTAGTGATTATTAGTGATGACAATTATAAATGTGACATGGAAGTTGTTATATCATTGCGAAGGAGTATTATATTTACAATGAAGTTTTATATTTACAATGAAGTATTATATTTATACATGGAAGTTTTATATTAGTGATAAGTTGTATAAATGTGACAAGAAGTATTATAATTGCAAAGAAGTATTATATTTATGCGCCGATCAAAACGAAGGTGTAACATCCCCCCGGGCACGAAAGGGGCATTTGCCATTCGTGATTTTCCCTACAGGCGGGCATTTGTTGTCGAGAAAATTTAAAGTGGTGGGGCATTTGATTCCACTTATAGTGAGGATGGAGATTTAACCAGAACTAAAAACTTTTAGTTCACCCAACATCAATACTATTATACAGGCTTTACAGTCAATTTCATGAAACTTTGACCACAAATGTTCGAAACTTTGTTGCGAAGTTCGCAAGTTGGTTCACAGGGACCCCATTGCGGGTCTTATTGAAGTTATGTATTAGAATTAAGTATGAAATATATAGCTCAGTGCTGAAGCCTGAGATTTGCGGGCCGCGTGCGGGCTAACACGTGCGTTGAATACACAATATTTTCTTTTATCCTGAAGTAAAAGAAGCCAATCAAATTTGTAGTTTGAGAATCACATTATGAACTTCACAACGAACTTGCGAACTTTGCAACGACGTTCGGAACATTTGTGGTCAAAGTTTTGTGAAATCGACTCAGTCAAAAGCACATTTTTTGCGTTTGTGTTTCAAAAAAATGGCAAAATTTTTATTAAACGATCTCCGAATTCAAAATGTGAATTATGTTCAAGATTGGTAGACCAGAATCGACTGGGGAAGTTGAATGTTGAAGAATTTTAACCTTCAAATCGAGCTTCAAATTAAATTTACAATGGGGCATTTGACCACCACTTAGTTATGCAATGTAGGGCATTTGAACTTCGTTTTTGACTCACGGATGTTGCGAAGCAACATCTGTGAGTCTTTGTGGTTTACTTGAGTGGGGGCAGTTAAACAATGGGAAATGACCAGCCTGCTTTGCGCGCAGTGTTTGCCTGCGAACGGGTCTTTTGGAACCGAAAATTGGGCTGGAGCACGCTTCACGTTCTTTTCAACTTTTGACTTTTTGACAAGCGTATGTTAAATTAAAAGGTGAGTGTTTCGTTTTTGTTTAGTTGACTTAATTGTTATCTGTTTTTCTACTTCACCCAACAGATCTGCTGTTAACACACTGATCTACCTTTTAGCTGAAATATTAACAATATTTTGTTCAATATATATACAAGTGTTGACATTTTCTGGTGCCTTTCGAGCGCCTCTGTCAGCTGTGTTTCAACACCGTTTCAACACTGTTTCCATAGTTTCTGTCGATTGAAAGAGCTTTTCGATTGAAAAAGAGATTTTTGTTTACCAAATTTAATCATGTTATTTAAATAATTCATGTTTTAGCTGTCACGGAATACAAAGGACATATTTGTCTTACTTGAAGCAACACGACACAAAATCTTGGTATTAAAGTCACGTTGCCGTTGTATATTTCATGACTGCGCTTGCACTGTAGCCTAGTATCAGCTGGCACGGACGAGTCTCAGCAGTGTATCGATAGATCGCTTCATTTTTATCCTCTATCAGGAGAATTTCAGCTGTCCTTATGCTCTTTGATGAATGTCCCACTTATATTTAGACGCAATGAAACAACATCAAAACCACTAGTTAATCCAACGAAACTCTGTCGGATTACTGGGGATGGCAATTGTTTATTTAGAGCACTGTCGTATATTTTAACCGGTAGACAAACATACCACATGATTTTAGGACAAAAAATAGTGGATCACATGAACAGTATAGAACATGTCCTTAGACCATATATGAATAGTTCAGTAGATCATTATTTAGCCACAAGCAACATGAGGAACAGTGGTGTGTGGGGGACTGATATTGAAATTTTTGCAGCCATTCCCTTTTCAATGTAGATATTTATGTTTATTCACAGTTTGGTAACAATTATAAATGGTCTAAAAAGAAAAAGAATATTGGACACTGAGGCAGCATTACCACCTGGATTTACTTAAGAGGAGTGTTTAAAAACACTGTACTGCCATTGGACAGCTACCTGTACCGTTGTACCAATAAGGGTGCTGTTTTATAGTTGTTCTGTTTAAATTTTTCTGTTCAACACTGTACACTGTACATCATACAGCTACGGTCATTGATGCAGCATGTACTGTATTGGTTACAGCTTTATACTTATAGGTATCATGTTTAAATTGTTCTGTTCAACACGGTAGATCGGACAGCTACGGTCATTTGATATATTACATTGGGGACAGCTTTATACTTATTATAGTTATCATGTTTAAATTGTCAGTCTGTTTAACACTGTACATATCGGAAAGCCACAGTCATTGGATGTACTGATACTGACTGTATTAGGTACAGCTTTATACTTATAATTATTCTGTTGAACACTATACACACCTGACAGCTACGGTTATTGTACTTTTATATAGATTTGCTTTGATGGTGTGTAGTTTTATAATAATCTATCAGATTGTTTTTTCAAGACTGTTGATATTGGTTAAGGACAGGTCATTATTTATGGAAGGGGGGGAGGAGAATTTTTTCTTTTCTAAATTTTTAAAATTGAAAGCCCCCCTCCCCTAAATGGCAGAAATTTAATGATGCCCCCCCTGCATATTAGAATATTTTTCTTTGACCACCCCCCCCATTTTCATTTTTACTCGTCAAATGGGGATACCCAGGCGTTATAGTATTAATTATTAAATAAGAACATGGAACTGGCAAGATATTAACGTCGACCAAAAATATATATTTATTAGCAGAAAATTATAATTAAAAGAGGAGTATTTTTATATATAACACTAAAATCAGGTTTCCATTTGGTCTGGGCGATTGTAACCATGTTTAAGGCTGCAACTAGACTTGATGGTACGAAGTATTGCCATAGCAGCTGCGCGGCAACAATGAGAGCAACAATCAGTAAAATTAGCAGCAAAAGGAGATAGCAATGACAATTCTGCAAAGGCATACCTGCGAAATACAATGTATAGTGGTCTATACATCCTATTTTATGTGAGATTTAAAATTATATAAAATAAAATGACATATACTAGCTACCAGATAAAATCTTTTAGAATGAACATGGGTGGGTGGGTCGGGAACTTGCTGCAGCTAGGCAAAGCATACAATGGCAGAAGGAATACCCAGACCCAAGCACTGATCACAAGGCATGAAACAACCCCCTTTGATCGATATGACGTCACAGACTCCCTTCAGCGGATGTGGCCTGCATAATACAAACGCCGTTAACTGCTTAATTTAAATGTATTTATAACCACATCAAGAGCTGATGTAATAATACATTGTCAATTTAACTAGTCTGCAATCCGTAAAGACTGATTTGCATACAGCACACACAAGACAAGATGAATCCAGACTATTTCACATCAGTGACCATGATTTAGTTGCAACATTTACAACCAAATGGATACCAGGTTATTAAGCAAATTCCTTCAAGTTTAATTGCAACCCCCCGTCATTTTCTTGAAAAAATTTAATAGCCCCCCCCCTTCTAGTCATTTATTTCTACATATGCCCCCCCTTATCTTTTCCCTCCCCCCCCTTCCATAAATGATGACCGGTCTCTTATTGTTAAAATCGAGGATGTCGTTAAAATTAAACTGTGTAAACCTGTAAGATCTTCGCCCCAGTTCGGGAACATTTTATATTATGTTGTGTTTTACCAAATAATGTCCTTGCCCTTGCACGGTTCCCATTTGTAAAAAACTGCTGTAAATCATATCCCCCTTTAATTAATTTGATCTCATCCGTGAGTCGGCCTCGAAGGCCTTTGATTAATATTTTACACAAGGCTGCCAGCCTGCCAAACAGTCTGAAGAGAGCTATTTTGGTAGTATGACAAACCCGGAAGTTTAAAAACGTCACAAAATATAAAACCGGTTTTGCAAGTTCTCAAACGGCAACGTTACCCTGGAACCAGAGGGTATTTATTTTCGCCTGTTTTGAATAATCCTCTGGTGAAATTGGCGTAGTTTTTGGGTTCACATTCCACACACAACTTTCAAAAATGGAAGCAAAGAGTTGATTGGCTGCTGACTATAGGTTCGATAGACTACGTGTTCTGATTGGATATTGTAAACATCATAGCCTGTTCGCAGGCGTTTCGAGTTTTGATTGAATTGAAACATTTGAATTTTGAAATGTCTATATTATTAAATAAACGAACAAAAGTTGAAAGAAGCAGTTTTATAGGCTGCATTAATAGATAGATTGATAAATTTCCTGAATTAAAAGTTTAACGGAGCATCAATACCGCGCCTTGTCCAAAACGTTGCCCCGCAGTAGCTAAAAATAGATTTTCGAAATGAAGACCCCCCGCGAGACTCAGACAAACAAACTAACATTTTGTATAGAATTGTACTAGCAGCGAACATAAATTGGTCTAAATTGACGTTTTTATTTATTTTATCTGTGCTAAAACGAATTTAAATTTATCCCAAACTACAAACATGGTTATTGCTAAGCTCTGTTGCTGGGGAACATGTCCAAGTAATTCAAAATACTCAGAATAATTGCTGAAACAGTACTCAGCAGTAGCAATGTGTTGACTGTTATTGACTGCGGACTGTGCTGGTTATTCTCCAAGAACTTTCGCAGCTAACCATTTCCCCCCGTCAATACATCCAGCGAACGATGCTTTCCCGAACTATTAAAAGCAAGCGCTAACTCGCTGAAGAAGAACGTGGCGTTTTATACCGCTTTGCTATAAGCCGGCCTCTACATTTTAACCACTGCTTGAGTTTATAAATCGACAGTATAATCAGATGGATGATGCCAGGGACGCCGGAACTGGGGGGCAGGGGGGGCGGCTGCCCCCCTTGCCTTTTGCTAGGGGGGGGGCAGGGGGGGCAGAACTGCCCTTTTAGTTGTTTAATAATACGTGATAAATCACATTTCCAACGATGCTTTTTGTAGGAAAATGATGAGATTCAGGTAATTTATAGTTTATATTTATAAAAATTTTGGGAAATTTTTGGAATTTAGAAAAATATTTT